TCGTACAGTGATCCCTGCACCTACCTCTTTGATTTAAAGTCTCAAAAGTTAAGGTTACTAGCCAGTTTCTCCTGAGGCAGTCAGAGGTGAACCGAGATCCCAAGTGAAAGGTCCAAATTACATTTTTCAAGATAAAGAAAGTTTGGAAGATACCCATTTGGTTGGGCAAACTTACACTGTTTCAGCCTCATATCAGGTAAACAGGAATAGTTTTTGATCCTCATCTATTCCATTAGACACACATTATAAAAGGATCTCCTCACAGCCAGAATGAAAAAAAGAACAAATAGATCAACCTAATGTATTTTCTAATATTGCAGTGCTGTTTCTGTCAGGTTTACTTCCTGCATCTACTGTATGACGCATTCAGGTTTTGAATAGACACTGTAAGGCTGTCAGTCACTATCCGTGAATCCAACAAATCTGCTTAAAGCACAGAAGAGTGCGTTTGTGGTGCTTCTTGAGAACACAGGAAGGACAATCCAATACTGTTTTCAGATCATTTTTGTACTTTGCATAATTTGAAGCTCATAAACCCTGATTGATCCATTGTTCACAGAATTTTGTCATGCAAGTGAGGAAGTTTAAACAAATGGAATGGTCAATGTTTTCATATTAAAATTTAAGATTTGTTAGTCATGCATTGATTTAGCAAACACTCAAAAGTATGGTAAGTAAGGTTGCAGGAAGCCTTTTTGTTGCAGAGTGAATTCAATTGTTTTTATTTAGTCCAGAGCTAGTTAACTGGTTAAAAAAATGCACAAAAACAACCTCTGTATGCAGTGCACACACTTCTCAGAACGTGTGTTTGAATGCAGCTTATTTGCTCAGCACATGTGGTAAGCACATTAAATAACTGGCTGAACAAACTAAATTTGCCTGTATTGCTCAGTTCCAATCCTAATGACAACCTAATTACAATCTACTACTACATCTGGGGTTTTGCTTAATGCTACTAAGCTGGAAGTTTGGCTGACTGCCTTGATATATTCTAAACATGATCAAAGTACTTACAAAGTAGTTCTTAAATTGGATTGTACTCAAACAAAGAGTAGTACACATCGAAACTCGTATGGCCTCTGATCTGTGCTCTATTCACTCGTCAGTAATGACAATGCTTTACTTACAAAGAGACTGATATTTTCACTGGCGGTCCCATGTAGAATCCATTGCTTTTAGTGTCAAATTAAAGGGGACAGTACCTGACATTTTAGGGTTGAATTGCATGTGTGAAGCCAGACAGTAAAATTTTTCACCTCTACTTTAACCAGAATTTTTTTATGTGTCAGCCTCCATGTAATCGATGCAAGAAATCGGGGCAGCCATGTGTGAATGCAGCATGTAATATTCTGGAAAATTCACTGCGAGCAGATTGAAGACAGTGATGATGTTAATATCCTGCAACCGGCGCGCAACCGCTGCGATCTTTGTCAATTAACGTAGCATTGATTTAAAAGAAAAAACTGTGATCATAGCATCGGACTCTGCTATATATATATATATATATATATATATATATTATAAAATATAAAGCATTCCTTCAATGTATTCCTCTGCCTTTTAAAAGGCAACTCTAAAGTAATTTCCAACACAGCAGGGACAGTGCAGACAAATCAGCAGTGGGGTCTCAAAAAGAGGAAGGTTATTTTCAAGCAAACTACTGCCACACTACACACTGGCAAAGGTCAAAAATTATTTTGGGTAACAAATTACACAAAGTTGTTTCTCTACGAGGCTGCCTACCAAAACCAAGAGCCAGAACCACACATAAGAGTGGATTGAATTAAATCAGTACTTCTGGGGTGTCAAAGATTTACTCATAAAACAAAGCTTTACTAGACCTTTCATGCAAACATGTCACTGAAATTGAATATTATAGAGATGTTTTAATGCTTTGGCCTACCGATGTCACTGTACTTGTTGCATTTAAAGACAAAGGCTTTCAATTTCTTTTGTCAACAGCGAAGGTCCAAAGCATCATAAAGCTTCATCCACACATCACTACAGTATATCATTACCTTGAGTGTATTATTGCTTAAGGGCCTGGTATTGGTCTGAGAGGGCAAATGATTACACGAGAGCCTGACCAGACTCATAAAATAATGGTCATAATTTGACCACATCTTGGTCTAGAGGGTGAGTTAAGAATTGAAAGTAGAATTAAATCCAGCCTACTGAGCCTCTTACACTTACTCTCATTATATATTAACACAATAATTACAGACATGAGAGAATCACTACACGTCAACATGCTGACAACACCGCTCTCTAAAGATGCAATTTACCACATCTTATGTAAATGTGGTGTTTTATAAAACTCGCCTTTTGAAGATAGATTTAGATTTGTTGCAGTTTAGCCAGTGGCTGCATTATCTTAACATGCAGGTAAAAAAAATACAGGCATATAAACAGGCTGTCCCCCATGGTAGCTTAAGATTTACAGCCTGAGGCAAATTTGGAGGAATGTCTGGTTAAAGCAAAATTAATAAATGCAACACTTCTTTTTCCAGACACGGTGCAAACTTGTAAATCAGAATACCTTTAAATTACAAATATGTAAAGGAAAATATGAGCTGTCTGCAGTGCAATATTTAGTAAATCTATTATTTTCTATTATATTTTCCATAGTTAAATCAAAGTAGATGTCCTAAGAATGAGGGTATTCAAAAACTGCACTTAATGTGAAATCAACAAAAAACACCTCAGGCATACTGCATATTCATTATTATTCAAACTAAGTACACAGACTGAATTTATATTATGTATATGACAATGCTCCTGGGTAGATTTAAATGGAGTCTAACCTGTAAATTGTAGTCTTACAATAGGATTCTAATCTTGAGGGTAAGAGAAATCAATGTATAGCATGGCCTTGTTTGATCTGGGAGAGAAGGAATGATCCATAGCTTCCATTTCTTCTGAGATTTAATCGTTTTTCTCTGAACACTGGCGGTTTTATAACCCTCTATCAAGATTCAGAGGAAAGGAAAAGCTTAGGGCTCATTGCTGAAACTTTGAAGGAGGACAAATCAACCATGATAACAACCCTGGATACACTAAATCTAATCAATTATCTTCTAGTACTTGAAAATGTTTCCTAGAAAGGATACAAAACCAGTGTTTCCCACACATAGACAATCCCAGGTATATTAATGGCCACCAAAGTATATTTCCGACGTTTTTTTTAAAATGTATTCATAAATTGCCACACGCACAAGAGAAATAGCAAGAAAGAGACAGAGAGTGACAGCGAGCAAGAGAGATGAGATGAGAGTATGTCCCTCCCGTAAAGGCACTGATTGAGATGCAATGCTCATGTCAAAACTGAAGCTTCTCATGACTAGTTTCAATATTTTTCTGCAGCTGCTTGCTGACGATTCTGTCATGCAGTCGGAGTGGGACAAGACGCTGTGTGTAAGAGAAGTGCAGATGTGTGTGTGTCAATAAAGTTTTTGTAAAACAATTTCAGCTTCTCAGTTTCCTTAAAAAGGAATAAGACGTTGTTGAGCCTTTGCATTGGTGTTGCTCTTCCACGTACATTGGTCATCAATAATCATGCCAAGATACTTTTATTCCAGTACAATTTCAATAGCAGTGTTGTTCATTATTAAAGGGGAGAGAGTTGAATGTCTTCTAAAATCAATAATAATTTATTTTGGTTTTTTTTATGTTTAAAATCGATGAGTTGTCCGTACACCAGATATAAAAGTGATAAATCTCAGTTCTGTAACTCGTTTGATTAGGAGCCCTTACATAGCAACATGATTTAGATAATGTACAGGTTAACTGGTTAACTTCCATACTGCCTCACAGCCAATAGATTTGTATCTTAAAACTTTATTTTAAACCGGCTTATAGCATTTGTATTGTTGTACATGTATTTTCATGTATCCTCATATAGTGTTATGAGGTTTTATGTAACCAAATGTTGTACATTTTAATCTGTTTGTTTACACAAAGGCCCAACTGGGGACACGAGTTGGAAATCAGCAATAGCTATGTACTCTTTATGCAGCACATCAGTTTCATGCTTTGTATTGAAATTATGTTAAATTGCATTGTCCCTATTAAAATAAATAAATTCAAATTCAAGAACAGTGTTAAAGGAAGATGAGAAATCAGCAAAGAGTTAAGGCACATAAGATGACGTTGTTTGCAAATGTTTAAAAATGTAACTGTTGCAACATCTACATCTCCCTTTGCTCAGTATGCAAATTGTAAAGCATTCATTTGACTATCAGTTTCAGACTTTAAGCCAGATAATACGTACAATATGCTTCCTAGGAGATTTTAAAATCCACAGTGCGCTTTAATGAATGGAGTCAATGATCAATGGAAAATTGGACCGACTGAATACCTTGCCCAGGCATAACATTAGCATGTCGGGCACAGCCATACATTACCCAAAATGCAAGCAGCAGGGTTTGCCATCCTCAAACTGGTTGCGGGTTAAAATTGACTTAAGACTTAAGTCTTACTTTTTACATTTTGAATCGATTCAGAATTGTTCAAATTAATATTAGCATAGAAATATGTTTGGATCACCTTGTGGGAACAAACCAGAGAAAGAGATTATGAGCGTATAGTAGAAAGAGACACACTCAATATGAACAACCTGGCAGCCAGCATGCCATTAGGTGAGCAATTTACTGCCAACTCAGTTAAATATTTCAATACTCAAATAGTAGTTTTACAAATGTGCCCCACGTGCAAGTGTAACAATATTGCCCAGAGATAGGGAGATGTCTAAACAAATGAGATTGCACTGGCTTGTAATCCAATAACACTCCCCAGGCTTTCTCAGGCCAGGTCCCATGTGAGAAATTATTTTTCATTGACAAATGCATGGAATATTATAAAATGTGACCTCAGGGTGTGCAGAATTACAAGCTCCTAAACATACATGTCATTAAAATATATTCAATTTGAAACCTTAAAGTATATAAGCATACAGCAAAACATAAGAAGTAATGTAAAAAAAATTGCATTCAAACACTTACAGTTTTAGAGGCAGTGAAAATATACTGGATGACCATTTCTCTCTTTGTGCTGAGGTCCTTTTCTCTCAAAGGAGTCTTTTTTTCTTCACTCAGGTTCATGTCCTCCTGTTAAAACAAAAGAAAGAGAAAAGAGGAGAAATATTTTTCAAAATGTAATCCTTAATATTCTTGTTTCTTTGTATCAACCTCTGGCTTTGCTTTTTTTCTCCCAGTGTATTAAAAATTGCAATACTTTGGTGTTATAAGTCTTGTTTGCACAGACAATTGAATTTTTCACCAGATTTATGTTTCCCCATTAACCTTTAACTTAGATTTAATTATTTATTTGCCATATTTATCAGAATATTTAATTCTAAAAACTGGGCTAAAATGGGATCCCAATTCTTTAAAAGAATAAGACAGCACTGAATTCATAATTTTAGCCTTTTTCATTTTGAGAAAGAAATCTATCGTGTTAGAAAGTAAGCCTGTTGCTTTAAGAGTGATGCTTAAATTGCTTTTTGAAGCGAGATAGCTGTTATACGAGTGCCTGTCTACCCATCCTCATAAAGAATGTCTGGTGGTAGTCAACCCCAAAAGACTCACACAATTTAATGTCGGGTGGTTATGAACCAGCTCATGTTAAGTGTTTTGCTTCCATGGAAGACAAATTCCTGACAAGTGAATACAAGTTAACACAGTCGTACATCAAGCAGCCAAACAATATGGTGTAATGGGTTATCCTGATATCATTTCAAAGATTTATTGAGCATTTTGTCAAAGAAAAGCTTTCCATGTTTATGACCATACCATCATCTTTTCAAACAGAGCCAAGATCTCTTTTTCCGAGGTGATCTTTGATGAAACCTCTTCAAACTGATGTGACGAGGATGATGATGAAATGGTCCAATCATTAGTGTTGTGTTTAGACTGCAACAAGGGTGGTCGCTCCTTTTTACTACCCGGGATCCGAATGCTGGCAAATCTGTCCAGCTGTACACACACAAAAAAATGAGATAGAAACACTTTTAAAAACAGATCAACAGTCTCAAGAATATTTAGCAGAAAAAGTTGAGATACAAAAGTGATGAGTTAGATTATGAGCCTATATAAACAGTCAGTGTTTCCCCTAGGTTTAGAGCTGTGGGTGGGCCGGGGGGTGGGTCCTGCGAGTTGTTCCTGCAACTCCCGTTTCTGAGCACACCTGAATGCATCTCTCATTGTCTGAGCAGCAAATTAACTAAGCCGACTTCTTTATTTTCTGATGCTTCTTACGGACTTTTTATTATTGCGTGTGCGTCCGTCAGACACAACCACACACACCCATACCTCCGCTGGTGAGAGTGTGTGCGCGAATGTGTCTTGTGTATGTGTGTACGGTGTGCATAGGGGCGAAACTCCGCCGTGCACGACACAGAGAGCAGAGGAGAACTGTAAACGTGCGACATGTAGAGACAGAAATGACATGCCGTCATGTAAATAAGATAAATAACATAAGGCTATTTAGTTTGTTTAATAAAGGAGGAGGTATAGACCTGTTCTATAGGAAAGGTATCCTTATGACTTCTGTTGTGATCTGGCGCTATATAGAAAATAA